AATTTCGGGGCTGCTGTCCCCATCTGCAGTGATCATGGAGCCCAAGAAGGTAAAATCTGTCACTGCCTCCATATCTTCCCCTTCTATTTCCCAGGAGGTGATGGGACCAGTGGCCATGATCTTAGTTTTTTTTTATGTTGAGCTTCAGACCATTTTTTGCACTCTCCTCTTTCACCCTCATTACAAGGTTCTTTAATTCCTCCTCACTTTCTGCCAGCAGAGTGGTATCATCTGCATATCGGAGATTGTTGATATGTCTTCCGGCAGTCTTAATTCCGGTTTGGGATTCCTCCAATCCGGCCTTTCGCATGATGTATTCTGCATATAAGTTAAATAAGCCAGGGGACAATATATAGCCTTGTCGTACTCCTTTCCCAATTTTCAGCCAATGAGTGTTTCCATATCGAGTTCTAACTGTTGCTTCCTGTCCCACATATAGGTTTCTCAAGAGGTAGATAAGGTGATCAGGCAGTCCCATTTCTTTAAGGACTTGCCATAATTTGCTGTGGTCCACACAGTCAAAGGGTTTTGCATAGTCAATGAAGCAGATGTTTTTCTGGAACTCTCTGGCTTTCTCCATAATTCAGTGCATATTAACAATTTGGTCCCTAGTTCCTCTGCCCCTTTGAAATCCAGTTTGTACTTCTGGGAATTCTCGGTCCACATACTGCTGAAGCCTGCCTTGGAGGATTTTGAGCATAACCTTCAGTTGAATCAACATATAAAAAAAAATCATTGGAGGAAGAAAACTATAAATTTGACTCTAATGTCCACAGTGGGATTTTATAACAATTTTATAACGATTAATTTCTGGGTAAAACTATCAATTTAATCCCACTAGTGTTACCTATTCTGAGAATCAAGATTACTCCAGTTTAAGTGCTTAAATGTTGATAAGGGGTGTGCCCTCTTATAGAAATTTAATAATATGGGGACAGTTCAGACCAATTTGCATTAACCTTGAAACAAATATTTATTAAAAAATTAAAATCCCTGCCACAATTCATCAAGCAGGTGAAGCAAGTGAAGTTTTAAACTGTTTTAAAAAATTGTCCTAAATAGTTGCTTTGTTGTTGTTATGTGCTATCAAGCTGGAAGTGATTTATAATAGGGCTTTCAAGGTAAGTGACAGAGTTCAGGAGTGGTTTTACCTGTTCCACACCCCCAGTGTGCTTCCATGGCTGAGCAGGGATTTGATCCTAGGCCTCTTGAGTCTTAGTCCATTTCTCTATCCACTACTCCACACTGCATATCCAAATTCTTGCATTTTAAATTGCCACATTTTATTGATTGAGATCTTTGGATATAGGGACAAATGTAAACCTTTTAATAAAGAAAGGAAAAGGATCCAAAGAGACTTCTCAGCAAAAAAAAAACATGTAATCTTTAGAACATGAAACATTTTTTTTTAAATTTCTTCTCTCCAACTTTTAAGATCTTCCAATTTTTAAAAACTACTCTAACATGAAATGTCACGGCTGGTTCTTGGCCCCAATTAGTAAAGATCTGGAAATTTAAATAAGACACAATGCAAGAGTAAAGAAATAGTAGATCTATGAAAATGGACAAGACAGATGGGGAGGTTGGCCAAAAGACTGTAATTACAAAGGTAGTCCCTGGAGGCCTATATCTCACGGGTAAGGGAACTTTTTTTAACTTTTACCCCCCCAAAAAAAAAAATTATATATGTCGACATTAACCCCCACCCCGGCTTGGCTGTCACCGTCTGCAGCTGAGCCCTCCACCCGGGACCTGTGGCCACCACCTGGGCAGCTAGTCTGAAGCTGCCACACCACTGGGAAAGCGCATCCTTGGCGAGGGGAGGCGGGCGCCACAGGTCCAACAGGTCCACTGGCCATGAGCTCAGGTGAGGCAGGGCAGGAAGGGGGCCTCCTCGCCAGCGCACCGGGTGGGTGGGTGTGGGCAGGAAGGAGAGCTCTGGCCAGGGCTACACCGGGTAAAGAGTCCAGCTGGCCTGGTACGCCGTCCTCCCCCCAACTTTGGAGGCGAGGAGGGCAGCCGGGTGCCCTGTGCAGTTCCTTGCCAGGACTCGCTCTCCGCCCGCGATGGAATGCCTGGCCACACACAACATTGTCGGAAATAAAATGCCTGGGGGTAAAATGCCTGCTGCAGCCGTCCTCATTACCCCCAGGATTTTCATTTTTACCCCATTTGGGGTTATTTACCCCTGTTCCCTGACCACTGCTATATCTGCTCCAGCTTCATTAGAACATCAGGTTTTTTGGACTCTGCAGTAATACCTTTTTGTACAGTTACTGACCTCCCACTCCTATTGCAGAGCAGCAATAAAGACAAAGTTCTCTCCAAAGTATGTTCTAGCTAGAATGAAGCAGTTATACAACTGAATTTGAGAACTGGCATCCAGTTCTGGAAATTGCATCCAGATTTTATCACAGCTATAAGGGACTAGGCACCTAAATTGTGTTCTGGCTTTATATTTGCAAAAATGCTTTTGATACAGAAAGAATAGTGGTGTAATAAATATAGTTTTCCAAATGCTACTGACTCAGACAGGCTTGAATGACTTTAATTAATTGCCAACAGAATGATTTAAAGAAGCAATTCTTACAGAAGAAGTTTTATATTGTTTAATGACTAATGTTTCATCCCCTTTGGGAAAAAGATGACACAGATATATAAAAACTCTTCAATCAACATAGGAACTATACTAAAACAGTAAGGAAGTCATAGCATGGGTGTGATATGAAAAGTTTTTACAGATTGGGTGAAGGCCAAATTCCTCAAAATGTGAGTTGGCCAATGAACCCTGTCAAAATTGTACAGTACTTATACATGTAACACACTCCACACTGCTGGGGAGGGGGAATCTTTTGTTTTATATCTATTCAGATGTGGAAAAGAATAGATAATGAAAAAATATGAGGCACCTAAACACAGTGTCATGCTTGCAACATAGACCTTTCCTCCTGCATACACACATTCATAAACTGCACCAGAATGGAAAATAATGGTGTATCTATTTCATCATCATGTGCTGTCAAGTCCATTCTGAGTTACAGCGACCCTTTTCAGGGTTTTCCAGGTAGAGGATACTCAGAAGTGGTCCACTAGTCCTTTCTTCTGGGGATACTCTGTGACAGGGCATATTACCTAAGGTCACAAAGGTTGGCTTTACTCACAGGAGGCACAGTGGGGATTTGAACTCCCCACCCAGATACCTAAACCACTGAGCTATATACACATTTAAAAAAACAAAATAGAATGAAATTGCCTGTGTCCTCCACCAGTGGCTTGAAAAGATCAGACACTATGTTGGCCACCCATGTCTCATTGCTTGTAGAGGCTTAAGCTTCTCTTTTCGGCATCTTTATAATTTTTCGAGGGTAATTTAATTCAGATCAACCCATCTTTCTGTTACCATGTCATTCCAGTATAATCAATCTCCCATAATTACGTGGATGGTGCTATGTTGTATTAACCATAGGAAGATGGTAACTATTGCAGAGAAAAGGATGTGATCAATGACTAGGCCTTTAAGGAGCAGTACGGAAACACATCCTGGTTGAGGTGATCGCTTTATTAAGCCAAATAAAATTCTCAAGTTTTTGAGAAAAAATATTTCTTCTCAGGCATGATGTAACAAAAAAAATATAAAGGGAGGAACTTGACACAAATCTGTTTTGAAAACACGGCCCCTTTGCAACTCAAAGCTAACAACTTTTTGACCTAGGCATAACAATTGCCATTTCTCTGTTAGTTTTTACAACTCAGAACTGAAGGAAACTATTGAAGCTTCTAGCATCTAAATTCTACATGAATTAAGAAAGAGACCGGTTTCTTCCAACAGAGAAGCAATTGCTCATTAAACTGAGGCAATTTCCCCCAGTCCTTGCTCAGCTATTGCTGTTCTATGCAAAATTTATACAGCATATTCTTCTGCAATCCAGTTTGCGATGACTGAGTCATACACCTCTACTGTAAAGTAAATGGAGTTTAGCTGTGCTAAGCATTTCACAACACCTCCTGTGCTTTGAAAGCCATTATCTTTCTGTAATCTGATCTTAGTCATGATTGGATGAAGACAGAAGGAACAACTAAGGCCTGTGCTGATTGGTTCGAGGGCCCAGGTTACTTTCCCAGGGGAAAGAAAAGCTGCTGTTGCTAAGTTACTGTCCACACACTAGGCAAGCTTAGGCCTAGTTGTTGTTTTGTTTTTCTTCACTTTCTCCGCATGGATGTTATTACTACAGCTGCACTGTTTATAAGTGCACAATGGATCAAGGCTACCTGCCTGGCCTTCTAAAAATATGATTATTACGGTCTAAAGAGACGCAAGGGGTTGGTTTACCGTGCTTCAGACAGGACCACGTCGCAAAGGTAAATAGATGTAGATTAATAATTATTTGCACAGCCATCCCAAGTAGGTTTAATTTATCAGTTTGAAGCAATGACTTTTTCTAAGTTTATATTTTTTGGCCTTAGGACACATTGTTCGTTGGGTTGATTTAAAAAAAAAATAGCAGCAAAAGTACTCCCTGTGAAGCTACAAGAAAAAAGGACCTTGGCAGTTATGCACTCGAGAGCTTATTTATTGCTGGAGAAAGAGTTTATGGAGTATGAAAAAGCCAACATCTTTGTGAGTACAGTTGGTTCCACACACTCTGTTTACAATGATCAAGCCTGCCAGTAAAATATTAAATCATCATTATAAACCTCCTCCCAGTGTTATTAAGAAACATTATAGAATGGTAGTGTTTTCTCACTCTATTTATCCCATAAATTTTGGGAATTTGAAATGTTTTGTAAGGTAAGTGAGAGGCTGCAGCCCCCAGCTAGGTGGAAAAATAAGCTATAAAAATTTCAAATAAAGGAATGAGAGCAGGAGAGAATTATTGCCTTTAATTAAAAAAAAGTGACATGATAATTTATGAATTATGTAACCAAATGACGAAGAAGTAGCTGACTCTACTTTCTGATAAAAATCCAGTTTTTATCCATGCTGTGAGATTGCCAGAATTGCCTGCTATGACTTGAGAGGCACTCTACTGTTGGATTATATATATATAATGCAAGCAGACCATCCTTCTCTTCCATGTTTTTGCTGAAAGACAGAAACAGTTCTTGCTGTCTGTCTTGCTGACAGACAACAACTTCCTGACAGACAGAAACCTTACTGGTGCAGTCTTTTTGCAACGTGGCAGTGGCTTTCTCTTCCAAAATCTGTATAGGGCAGACAAGTCTGTTGCCATGAAAAAGAATAAATGAACCCAAATATAGAATCAGAAACAGAAAAATTCAAAAGCCAGTGGGAGAACACTTAATTTTTCCAAGTCACTCTTGAACTGACCTTAAATTATTTGTTGTGGTGCCAAGAGAGAGACAAACTGTTGGTTTACAATTCCTTGGGAAGTTGCATTCACTCCGGGGTGAACTACTTATCTAAAATCAGGGTGTTTGCTTGATATTTGTGTTATCACTAAGTGTTTTGTGACTGGTCGGTGTTAGTAATGTAATTACCACTGCCATTTGATTTTTGTATTTACGTAATTTTTCTGTTACTGCCGCAACAAACTGCAACCACGGTCCCATCTATGTGTTTTGTATATAGCCTGAAATTCTCACCAGCACTTCCTGCATCGGTCTTTAAGGTGCCACAAGACACTATTGCTGCAGTAGATGCACTCTCTCTTTGGATACTATTACCAGAAAGTACGTCTCGCTGTTAAGTTGTTCATACTGTAATGTCTATATAAAACCCTTATAAACATCACTTTAATTTGACTGATTCAGATGTAATACCAGTACAGTACCTAGCTTTCTGCTTCATGAACAACATTTGCTTCAGCCCATTCCCCAGTTATCTTCCATCATGGGAGGCTGTGGTTTAAAATTAAAAGCATGATAATCTCCTATGCCATGCAAAAGAAGAGAAGTGGTATTCTAATTAGTTCTAATCCAGAGTAACATGAAGTATATTACTTAAGGCAAAGATTTTGATTTTATTTTATTTTCTTAGGGGATTTCTCTTGCTCCTGTGGGAGACAACAACATGGAGTGGATAGCTGAAATAGAAGGACTGAAGGATTCCCTATGGGAAGGTAGCCATCTCCAAGAATTTCATAGTAGTGTGACAGTGCATGCTAAAATAATTATAAATACAGTATTTTAATGTGGCACTATTGCTTACATTAAGGTCGCTATCCAGAAATGTGTTACAATCTGTGTTACTAAATCCATGATTAGGCAATACTAAGCATTTATGAGGATCAATCAAATATGCACAGAATGGTAGGCAGGTTTTTGAGATTTTCAGATTTTTTCCTCAAGATGTTGCAAAAAGTAGGTGACAGGGGAGATGGAGGGGCAGAGAACTGAAATCATGAAGTATGCCTGGTCAGAATCTTGAAACGTATTAGAGCAAGAGGTGTAAGTTTTGTTTAGGTTTCAGGTTATACCTAGGGCTCTTAGAATAAACAGAGTTGTAATGGCTGAGTCATTCATTTTTGAAATTAGAAAACTGAGTTTTTTGTTCAGGTTTTCTCTGTTTTAAGCAGAATGCAAAACTTGCTTATTAAGCAGGTAACTGTGACGTTTGCCCCTTTGTGGCCCCTGTTTGTCTCCCCAAAACAGAGAGCTCACGAAGGCAAACCAAAAAAAAGACACCTTTCCACACACTGCCACCAGTTGATTTCTTTATCAACGTACTTAGGAAATACAAAGGTCCATTCATCACTGTCTTTTGAATAAAACAGGTTTATTGATTACAGATGTTTCTATAATAATTCATAACTATCTTCTTCAGGTTCATCAAGCATCAATAACAATCTTCTATATTATCTTACAGGTTACTATTCACTCCTCAGACTAATCACTCCTCAGATTTCCCAAACTAACTCTCGCCCTCTCTCTCCCTTCAAACTCAGATCCAGACTGTCAACTAACTTCTCCTCTGTGACTTCGCCTTTTAACTTCTCTAGTGGCCCTACCTCTCAACCACATCAGCATTAAACATGAACAATGCATGACTTATTTAACATAATAAGGGTGAACGCCACATTATTCTTTCCAGACCATAACTTGGAAGTGATTTGATGGTACCTAATTATCATTATTTCCTGGAAATATTACTGTTACACATACTGGCTCTTCTCCCAGGAGGTACCTGGCTGGGGAGTCAGAAGCTAGGAGTTCGATTTCCCTCTTTGCCTTGGGCAAGCTGCACAATCCTAGGGTCCACCCTGAAGAAGGGAATGCCACACTGTGTATGAGTACTGTACTGTAGTCTAGTATTTTCAGCAAAGCTAATCTAAAATCTATATTGTGTTATTTTTCCAATCACTTTATAAAATTATAAGAGATTATATTGACTTGCCCAATAAGGCCCAGATTGGACTCCAGGCATATTTTAATTCCTTCTGTCTTTCTAATAATAAATGTTAAACGAAATGTTTTTATTCCTCTTTTAAGAAATACATAAAGCATGTTATATACATAAGAAATACATAAAGCATTTCGAGAATCCTCCAGGCATCACAGGCATGGTTCTTGAGGCTGGCGTCTTCTGGGAACTGTATTCTGCTAAAGTAACTTTTCCAACCTTTGATTTGGACTCACTAAGAGGCTGCAATGAGGTGGCTCAAAATAAATCCTAAAGCGTACACAAATCAACATATTGTGCCAAGTGCTCAGCTGGGAGTCTGTAGAGCAATGAATTCAGAGAGGCTAGGAGGTAGCTAGTATCAAAGAGATGAATGTTATTAGAATTACTTAGAGGGGAAAATATGGTTACAAGGTGAAACTGAGGAAAATACATATTCCCTACCATTAGCCCATTTTCTCTCTCACTTTGTATTTGACAATACATGCCTCAATAATTAGAGTCACAACTTAAGCCAGTGTTTACCTTCCAATGACTTTGTACAAAAGAAAATATGCTAAATACTAGGTATGTAGTTAAGGAGTGTAACTTTTGTCATTTGAGGGCATACCTCTTCTGAACCCTGCAAAACTGCTACTCTAATATGACTCTAAGGCAGATTAAACTGCAGGGGGGAAATGCAAAAGTAGAAGAAGAAACAAGAAGACAGAATTCAGAGAAGGGCTCGTAAAGCTGTTGTCCACCTGTTCCTACTTTCTCATGGAGGGCTGCTGAGAGGCTAGGATCAAGCCAGATGAGGTGCAGCCCTGTTGATTGTTCTGGTTGAATATTTATTACAGGGTAGCCAAGCAGACTGGAAGTTAATCTTGGCACCAAATAACTTCCAACCATTTGGCCATGCTGTCTTTGTGGTATGATTGGTGCAGAAGTAACAGGATCTGTTCAGGAGCAGAAGCACTGCATTTATTGTATTTCCATATTCCATTTCCAACTCAAGTCTGTGTTAGTGTTACTCTGAATATGGATAGTACATAAAGTGCAGCTATGTGCTAATAGGTTTTCTGGTGCAATCATAATTAAGTTTGAAGTTTAATTTAAACATTCGTAAAACTTTAAAAGGCAATGTCACCCTGATGACATATCCCCTTTGCTAAACTGAACTGTTATGGTGGGAGGGAAGACATATTTCAGTAATATTTTGAAATGTCTGCACATTTATTGATGGCTTTGCAAATTTTAAAAAACAGATTTTTCATGGCTATAAGGTATGTATGTATGTATGTATGTATGCATGTATTTATTTATTTAGCTTTATACCACTTCCATTAGTGCTGAGGCACTACTCTGTGAAGTTTACAATAAATAAAATATCAGAGATAAAAATGACACACTAAAGACAATAAGAACAGATAAGCAAATAACTGTAAAAATAACAAGAAAAACAGATGGTGCCAGCCAAAATGCACAAAACAAAAGCGGATGAAGAATGGGTAGTCAACTAGGGTTAGTGTGGAAAACCTCCCTGAAGAGCCATGTCTTCAGTCACTTCCTAAATATCCGCAGGGAGGGAACTAGGTGAAGCTGCTCCAGAAACTGGTTCCACAAGGTTGGAGCCACCGCAAAGAAGGCCTTACCTCTTGTAGAAGACTTATGGGCCTCCCTTGGGGTGGCGACCTGGAGGAGCCTCACCCGTGATGATCTAGTGGATCAGGGAGATTACTTTGGGGAAAGACACTCCAATATGTAATGTGGGCCCAAACCATGGACATCTTTATACATAAGTATCAAAACCTTGAGCCTGATCCAAGATGCAATGGGTAACCAGTAGGGTCTAGCCACAACTAGGTGATATGATCAAATTTGCTCACACCAACAACCAGTCTAACTGCCGCATTCTGGACCCACTGTAGTCTCTGGATCAGGCCCAAGGGAAGCACCATGTAGAGAGCATTGCAGTAGTTGATTTGGGAGATGACCAAGGCTGGAAGATGACTATAATGAATTCTTGTCCTCTACTTGCTAATTTAGAGCACCAATCTTTTTTTAAATGGTGGTGATATATATTGGGGCACAATCTCACTGACCAGTCACTTGAATTTCTGTGGTGCAGCCCACAGTTTGGAAAAGTAACTTCTTTTGGATTATGGTTCCCAGAATCCCTCGCACACTATAGCCAGTGGCTGTGCTGACTGAGAGGTGCCTCGACTTACGAACGTCCCTACTTATGACCATTTTGAGTTACGACCAGCTCCGGCCGCAAAATTTTGCTTCTACTTGCGACTGGAGCTTCCACTTACGAACAGAAAAAGGCAGGGAAAAAAGGTGGGAAATTCAAATTTCTAACTGTAGGTGGCAACGAGGCTGCTTCTTTGTAGCTGTTTCGCCCCAGCAGTTAGAGTGTGTGCATTGGAGGAGGCTTGGGACTACCTCCTTCTGCTTCTGAGAGTGTGTGCATGTGTTTGCAGGGAGGCTTCGGACTGCCTGGTAAGGTGCTGTTTTCTGCTTTTTAAAAACTGTTCTGTGTTTTTGCAGGGTGGTTTTGAGCTGGGAGGGGTTATGTTTCTGTGCTGTGATGGGTCTTGGGGGGGTTGCTTGTTTTTGTCCCCCCCCATTTCCGATGGGTCTTGGCGGGGTTGTTGCTTTTTGGAGTTTTTTCCCCCATTTCCGATTGGTCTTGGGGGGTTGTTTGTTTTTTGGGCTTTTCCCCCATTTCTGATGGGTCTTGGGGGTTGTTTGTTTTTTTACTTCTCCCCCCCCCCCATTTCCAGTGGGTCTTGGGAGGTTTGGTTGCTTTTCAGGGTGTTTCCCATTTCCAATCGGTCTTGGGGGGTGTTTGTTTTTTGGCTTTTTTGTCCCCATTTCTGATGGGTCTTGGGGGATTTGGTTGCTTTTTCGTTTTTTTCCCCCATTTCCAATGGGTTCTGCATGCTTCCCTTGCTTTTTCCTTTGTTTTCTTTGCATTTCTAACCTGGCCCCTTTGTTCTCTGTGCAATTCTGATCTGCTCCATTTGTTTTCTGTGTATTTCCAATGGGTCTTGTACACTTGATTGCTTTTCTCTCCCCCCCCGCCCCTTTGGCCAGAAGGGATTAATCGTGTTTCGAATGAGTCTTGCAGTGGTTTTGTGTGTGTGTGATTTTTTTCTTCAGCCAGAACGGATTAATTGCATTTCAGTACATTCCTATGGGGAATGGTGCTTCAGCTTACGACTATTTCGAGTTACATCCATCTTCTGGAATGGATTATGGTCCTAAGTCGAGGCACCACTGTACTGGGAATTGTAAAAAAGACTATTCCAAGTGCTGGTGCAGCCTAGACTCAATCTTCCCTTCCCTTTTATAATCCTGCCCTCTGCTTTCCTCTCCCTCACCTGTTGTGTGCCACACATGAAGTCCTGTTCACTGCGGCAGATAAGGAATGGTGTGGATCATTTCCTTCAGTGTCTGTGAAAAGAATTGGTGGGAAGAGCTTCAGATGTGTGTTTCCTACTCTTACAGATCATTGTAAGATACTCAAAAATGTTGCAAAGAAGCAATGCCAACTAGGGTATAAGTCTCTAAAAGGTTGTCATATATGCCTCCCATCTATACACATTTATTTGGACTTCAGACCTTCTGGATGCAGCAGAACTTTATTTTCAAATAAATGCATGTTGTTTGGGGCCATATAGTTGCATATGTTTAATTAAATATTATATATTATTTTTCTAAATTAGGAGCTGAACTCCAACTATCATTGCTGTATAATGAAAACTACAACAACTCTCCTCCAAGTGTTACTTTCAACACCATACCTTTCCATCCCAATGGTAAGGATGTTATTGAGGGAAATGTCCTTCCAATAGTGATTGATCAGCACCAGAAGGTGATCACTTTTGCCATTAGATTTCAGGAAGTGCTGATACTTCTGAGTCTGTTTCAGCAGCTGCACTTCATTCAGTCATTACAACCAGTATCATCTTACTAGTTCCAGCAAAGAGTAGACCTACTGAATCAACTGCTGAACTGTGAATCAATACATGTAAGTTCCATTGACTCAATGGATCTCCTCTAGTTAAGACTTGCAATAGAATATTGGCTGTGTGATTGCCTAAAATTGTAAGAGAATGGTTTACCCAAGCCACAGAGCAAAATTCATAAATGAACTATTCTGACCAGTTCCAGTCATTGCATAAACCTTGACTTTCAAGAACAGTCAACTGCCAGTGGAACATGCACTGTACTCACATGGCTTGAATGTATATACCTACCTTCATCTTGATATCTTAATATTCAAAGGGCATTCTCTAATTTAATATAGTTTTCATATTTTTATGTATGTTATATTCCGGTAATTTTCTTGAGTTTCCTTCATCCTGCAATCTTGACAAGGGCAGTTCTACACCTACTCTTTCAAATACCCTCTCTGGGTTTTAAAGATTTAAATAGTTATTGTTAAAAAATCCTTTTTAAGATCTTGAACATGATTGTGCCCCTTCACGGATTGCTGCCTTGTCGTGGCGAAGGGGCTTGAGTAATTCAGAAAAACTATGGGCTATAGTGACACCAAAGAAAGATGTTCCTCTCATCATCAGGGATTATAATGCTAAAGTAGGGAATTAAGAGATAAAAGGAACAACAGGTAAACTTGGCCTTGGAGTTCAAAACGAAGCAGGGAAAAGGCTGATAGAGTTTTGTCAAGAGAACAAGCTGGTCATCACAAACACTCTTTTCCAACAACACAAGAGGTGACTTTATATATGGAAATCACCCGATGGGCAATACCGAAAGCAGCCAAAGATGGAAAAGCTGTCTCTGTAGAACTACTATCTGTAGAACTGCAGCCAAAGATGGAGAAGCTCTATACAATCAGCAAAAACAAGACCTGGAGCTAATTGTGGCTCAGAGATTTTGTGCAAAGAGGGACATGATAAAGGACAAAAATGGTAGGGACCTTACAGAAGTAGAAGGCATCAAGAAGAGATGGCAAGAATACACAGAGGAATTATACTAGAAAGATCTGGATGTCCCGGACAACCCAGATAGTATGGTTGCTGACCTTGAGCCAGACATCCTGGAGAGTGAAGTCAAGTGGGCCTTAGAAAGCATGGCTAACAGCAAGGCCAGTGGAGGTGATGGCATTACAGTTGAACTATTTAAAATCTTAAAAGATGATGCTGTTAAGGGGCTACACTCAATATGCCAGCGAGTTTGAAGAATTCAGCAGTGGCCAGAGGACTGGAGAAGATCAGTCTACATCCCAATCCCAAAGAAGGGAAGTGCCAAAGAATGCTCCAACTACCAAACAATTGCACTCATTTCACATGCTAGCAAGGTTATGCTCAAAATCCTACAAGGTAGGCTTCAGCAGTATATGGACCGAGAACTCCCAGAAGTACAAGCTGGATTTTGAAGGGTCAGAGGAACTGGAGACCAAATTGCTCACATGCGCTGGATTATGGAGAAAGCCAGAGTTCCAGAAAAACTTCTACTTCTGATCATTGACTATGCAAAACCCTTTGACTGTGTGGACCACAGCAAACTATGGCAAGTTCTTAAAGAAATGGGAGTGCCTCACCACTATCTATCTCTTGAGAAATTATACGTGGGACAGGAAGCAACTGTTAGAACTGCATATGGAACAAGTGATTGGTTCAAAATTTGGGAAAGGAGTACGACAAGGCTGTATATTGTGCCCCTGCTTATTTAACTTATATGCAGAATACATCATTCAAAAGACAGGAGAGCCTGGCATGCTCTGGTCCATGGGGTCACAAAGAGTCGGACATGACTTAATGACTAAACAACAACAAAAGATGATTGTGATGGTTCAACTTTGGACAGTTTTCAAAGAAGCTAATTATCTAAACCCATTTCAATCTGACCTCCGCCTTAAGTTGAACATTGAACTGAACCTATTGGATTACCTTTGTTAGAAAGACAGAGAGGTGAAATCCAGTTAAATCCAATTCCTTGCTCTCTCAGTACAGGATTGACTCTTTGTTTTGTCAAGAGAACAAGCTGGTCATCACAAACACTCTTTGGGTTGGTTCTTGGTGGCACCGTGTTATGTTGGCTCAACTTCTATCTGTAGAACTCATTTCAGAAAGTGAAAGCCAAAGCAGGCTTCTCAAGTCCTGAAACTGTATAGTTGCTGAACTGCTGTCTGGACGCAGTAATGCACTGGGTGAGGGCAAATATATTAAAGTTGAATCCCAAGAAGAAGACAGCCTTGTGGGTGGGTACGTTTTGTTTCTAGAAATTGACTGTGCAGTCCTTGATAAGATTTACTCCACAGAAAAGAACAGGTGTTCAGTTGGAGGTATTGTTTCTTTCACTTCTACCCTTGATTATGATCTGATACAAGCTTATCAGGAACAGTTTCTTATTAGTACCAGCACCAATCCTATGAAATTTCCTTGCTAGAGGGACCTTCTTAGCTAAATGGTCTGTCTTCATAAGTTCCCAGTTAAAAACGTGGCTCTGTGGGAGTCATGGTGTTGTTTTTGCCTTTATTTTTAAAGTAGTTTATGATTATTTTATCGTTGTTTATGAGCTTCTACTGAAGTTATTAAAGCTATTAGATTATTTTTATTTTATGTTTCTGCTCTTGTCTACTATTTTGTTTTTTAAATATAATTCATTTATCATTTCCAAAATTTTGTTTGGAGCTGTTTTGACTTTTTCCACTATGAGCAGAGTACAATTTAAGAAATAAAGGAAAAATAAGTAACTTTTCATATACTGCAGCTACATCTTGAGATCTTTGTAAACCACTGTTTTGTTGCTTCATTACACAGAATAAAATATGTTCTAACCTGTATAACAAAAGGTTTATAAAGATTGAACGATTTGATTAGCATCTAGGTATGCAAACCTCCATTTTGACACTTTTATCTCCTCTCCAAGTGGATCCACGATCTGGGAGACCTTGTGTGGATTTTCTTGATGATCCTACCAAGTGGGACAAGAAGTTAACAATGACTAGCATTCTGCTAAGTATCCAGGTAAAAAAAAGAATTGTGCAGGCAATAATTTTCTATCTCAAAGAATAAGGAAATTAGCATTAGTTCTGCATATACAAGAACAGAATTCTATCAGCTAATAAGGTTAATTACTCCTATGGAATTTTTACTTGTTTTTATTTCCCATATCACAAACTGCTTTTGAAGCTCTCTTCGAGGTCAAATTAAATGTTGCAGGAAATATATATTCCCATTTATTAAGGTTTGCTCTCCCATATTGGGGTTTTCTCAGCAAATAACATCATTGTGTGCCTTCCAATAATCTGTCAGTTCACAGGACTAAAGCAAAGCATACTAAATATAGGATTTGAAAGAAAACAACAAAATTACATTCTATAGCAAGCAAATTCATTTTGCCACTTCAAAAAGCACTTCTAAAAAACTTTCTAAATATATTGTCTAGTTTGTCCCACCTCTTTCAGTACTATGCAATCAGTCTTCACAGACAGAACATGGAAACCAACATTAAAAGCCATCTATTTCAGATGAGAGGGGAGAAATATTATATTACTTTAAATACCTTATAATGGGAGTTTCATACAATCCTGTTTCTCTTACACTGTTCTTCAACTAAGCTATGTAATAATGCAAATTAATTCCTTATGTCTTATTATGTTAATGTACTTACCATGCACCTTATTGGCCTGTTCTGATAACCTTTATGACAACACTGTTTTCATAGTCTATTAAATACTTGCAGAAATAGATTCTAAAAGCAATAACGGCAGTAACAATGTTTAATGTGGGCAGCATTTGTAGGAGCACTTCAGATAACTGCTAATGGCAAAGGCTGGTGAGATGCTCTGTTTTTTTTTTTCCATAACTATTCTTCAGAATCAGCAACTGAGTCCCTCACTGCTCTACTGTGCCGGGATATCTTTGCAAGGGACCATCATATACAGATTTAACCCCATGATTAATTTTTCCATTATGAGTAACAGGGTCCACCATGGCAAAAAGGTACCTACATTTCTTTGAAATGTGACAGAAAGTGGTAGATGAGTACAGCAAGCAGGGTGCAGAGTATCTCTGCTGTGCCAGAGATATGCAGTGCTTGAGATCACTATATGGCACCCTGAAGTCCAGTACTGTACTCTTTTGCCAGGTTATGAAGCACTCAAGGATGAATGCATATACACTGTGTGCACTTGGAGCAAGAATAAACGTGTGTGGTGGGGCCTCCGTTGTTCGCTTTATCCAGAGACTGAGAGGTGGGAAGCAGTTCCCTGTGCATTAGTTCAATAGCAGAAAGAGAAAGAATGCAGTGGAAGTTGACTCACTAGGGCAGATAGGGCAGTGCCCTCATGTTCAAGATACTTTTTCTCGTTCTATAGTGCAGAGGAGTAAATATGATAGCTCCCTGGACTAATGTAAGAGAATATTTCCCAATCCGGTTAGATGTTAAATGTTCAGGAGTTGTACTGCGGTGCCATTGAGGGAGGAAAGGAACACAACAGAATTATTAGTCAGCTTCAACCTGTTGTTGACTTTTGCTTCGCCTTCTATTGGCCACCCCTACTAATCCCAGTGAACACTAGTGCCAATTAAAGGAGTAAACTGGTCTGGCTCCCATCTCCCACCCCTGCCACTCAGCCATGACACCCTGTTGGCAGGGGGAGGCAAATGAAAAGAACAGGATGGAAGGAGGAGAGATATAGGTTGGTGTGGCGTTCACTCCTCGTGCCCCTGCCTGACTCCAGACACGGAGCACAAAATTACAAACAAATACTCCTTTTTGCCCCGCTGCCACCAGTTGATCACTAAATCAACATTACTTATGAAAGGATGAAGATGCAGGTCCAAACTTCACTATCTTTTAAATAAAACATTTTATTGATTAAAGATGTTTGGTTATTAATCATAGGTAACTTTTACAGATTTATTTATCATCAGTCTCAACCTTCTATTTGTTATACAGTTCTTATTCACTCTTCACTCTAATCACACCTCAGATATCCCAAATTCCACACTCTATCACCCCCTCCACTCTGACTTTCTCTCACTCCCTGACTGACTGTTCACTCTCTGACTCCGCCTCTTTATTACATATCTCTCGGCTCCGCCTCTTAGCAACATTAGCCTGCAACATGACTACTTAATATAAATATAGTGAACGCTACAGTTGGCTACACTTTATTTGTATGCATGCATAGAGGAAGATTTGTACCCTGTCTCATTCCAGAGTTGTCCAACAAAGCCATCTGAAGTAAGTGTGCAACTAATTTTATGTGCCTAAACCCAATTTTATTTTGTAGTTGATTCTGCTGCTGTATAAAGCTTTACAAACTGTTACGTACATCTGTCTTCACACAGGTTTTGCTGTCTAATCCAGTTTTGCATAATGCAGTGAACTTGGAGGCAGCTAAAATGCTGCAGAACAATTATTCCCTGTATAGAAAAAGAGTTATACAGTGTGTCAGAACTAGCCAGCACCTAGAAGGTAATAAACTTCCATGCTTTATGCTATTAGTCATAAATATATTCTTTGAGCACCACAGGGAGTTTTAGAAGAAACCATTTAAATCGCTTTTAAAAAAAACCCTACTACTTTACACAGGGCAGTAAATTTTAATTAGTGTGATTGGCAGTGTAACTTGAGTATGGGCACTGTAGACAAATCTCTGATCTCACAAAGCACATTTGCCAGGCAATGTTCAGAGGTGATGCAAAGGTCATGAGCTGGAAAATGAGACAAGAGGAACACTGATGTTAGAAAAAGTTAGGGTTATTACACCAGCGATTGCTTCAGATGCCATTTTATTCCATAGCATTACCTACACTGAGAAAATATGCATGCAGAAAAAATTGGGATGAATCCAAAAAGCAAAGTACTTTACATTGTGGTTTGAGCCTAAATAAATATTGGCACCATTTTGACATTGTTTTGGAGTGTATTCTGCACGTTCCATGTATTTTGATCTCATCTGAGGAGATCAGAACAGCAGCTGAATTAGAACTTGGAAAAGGAACCACTTTCATCCAAGCTGTGGCCTGAATTGCATCCCCTAGGAATAAGGATAATTCCAGACCTTACACATCAACTGTGTCTTCCTGTAGCAAAGCCGTGTATGAACATTCCTCCTCAGCAGCAAAGCCATCTTGCTTAACTCAAGTAGGGGTTCTTCTGTACTTGTCTGCTCTCCTGCTAAGGATCAGAGCAGTCAGGCTCTGAGAATCTGACATGTGCCTAGCTTACATAGACTTCTGTTGTTCCTTTTTGTGAACTCTTGCTTTTCTTGTGAGCAGAGATTGTAGGAAAATCATGTTCATTTTCAATTATGTCATTGGTCTATTTGAGACTGAGGGCAAAAGCTTAGGGGCCTGCAACATGTTTAATTTCTTACAAATGTGGTTTCTCAGGGTAGGAGATATGAAAAAGAACTCTAGCTGACATTGATGGGACTTACCTTTTAAAGCTGTGATGCTCAGGACTGATGATGTGAACACTGAGCCAGGGTAGAGCTGTATTGTTACTAGTCTCAAAATCACTTCAGAGCTAGATCATAATGTTCATTTTCTCTGTGTGTCAAGTGAATTGGCGACTTTCACCTAATTAGAACTAGTTCTAATCCTCACTGAGCCTTCGCCATTGTCTTTGGGGTGGTGCTAAATGTGATTTGTGTCCTCCTAGCAGGTTTTCCATTGATAACTGGTTGACCAACATGTGAACAAAATGTAATAGACAAGACTTGATCTGATTCTGCAAGGCTCCTCCTGTGCTCTTGTATTCTTGACTTGTGAGATACCTGACACCCTTAGACACAAATATAGGATCAGATGAGTTTTTTGCTACATTAACTATTTTCTAACTGTCCAACGTGATTGGAGTGACCATGGCAGTATGTCAGCAAGCTATTATGATGGTACAAATTGTAGCAGTTCAACTCCATCTTACACTTCATAGTTTTCTGTTTAGAAAATTATTATGTCCAGTCAGTCTTCGTTATAGGACCCAAGGCACTGATGTCCTTTTGTTGTCTAGTAAGTAGTAGGTTCTAACCAGACATTTGAACTTGATCTTAGTGTATGATTTGAGTGGCATGAAATGATTCTACTATCCAGCACAACATTAAGGATAAGAAAAAAGTACCACTTAAAACGTTCCTCTCTTTTGTAGCTTTTGCCAGGAATCTCGAAAAATCGCCATTTAAGGGCCCATCTGATGAAAGTTGGCCTCCTAGCCAAACAAGGTAATAAACTATTGTTAAGTTTAGATGAGCCACAAGGAACTGCGAACAGTACAGCTATCCAAGTTCTGGTAGCTACATGCCAATTCCATTTATACATATTTTTAAAATGCCAGTAATTATTTATTTCGAAAAGTATTATGCCACCCTTCTGTAAACATCTCCAGAGGAATAAGCCATAAAATGACAGGAAAAAAAAGAATGTTGCAACATGAAATAACAAAACAAACAAAATATCAAAACAAACCACAAATATTGATCAGAATGGGTAAATATGACAATAAATATTGATTTGTATCACATGTTGAAATGGCAGGCAAATAAGAAGTCATTAGTATGGCACCGAAATTGACGTCAGAGTTGGCACTGACCAAACCATTTGGAAACCCTGGGATACAATGATGAGAAAGACTTTTTCTCCCTGGTCACAACCTTTTAGGAGGGAGGCTCTTTGTTTTTCTATTTTTCATGCACTGGTCTCTTTGTTTAACATGCAAAGGACCACTTCTGTTGGGTGATTCTGAGTCATTTTCCTCCACTTGTGTTTTCTGGAGCTGGTCCAAAAAATCCCTAAAGTACCCATAATACTACCTCTGATGATCCTTGCAGAGTTTAGTTAGAGTCTAGAGATATTTCAGATACCTGTGTTTCGAGCTGTTATGGGGTTTACAGATAGTTACCAGAATGCTAAGTTGTAGGTAGAAATAAACATGTGACATAACTGTTTGAGAACTGGCAGTCAGTGATCTTTAACAACCCAAGCAGCTGCATTTTGTCATGTTTGAAGTTTACATAGAATCTTCAAAAGGAAACAAGTGAAAAAGTTGAATAAACCACACATTCCTATATATATAAAACATGTATACACATATAACTACAGACAACTATTCCCCTTTTCCAAAAAAATGAACAGGGTAAGTATAGTATATCTCAGTATTGATATAATTCTCAAATCGCCCATCTATATTATGATCACAGTACTTTGGTCATCAATGGGAGTAATATCCAAAAACATGATCACCCTGTACTTTTCCCCACACAGAAATTACTATGTTGGTATAATTAGTTTACACTAGCTGAACTGCTCCTATAAATCATGAGGTTTTAAAAAGATGCAGAAGAAGCTCCTTTTATCAATGCACTGTAAGTGTGGTTTTGGGAATCCACAACTATCTACAGGGCCCCTAGCACAGCTATCCTGTATTACAGATTCTGAAGATATGGCTTATATACTCCGGGGGACAAGTTATGTTAAGGAAGTATTAGGCAGGATGTTGTCTGAGAGACCAAAATCTTCAGAAGTGAGGAAGAGGTGATAACTCTGCATTCAGTGGGTGAAGAAAGATTGCTTCTCCTTTTAAGAAATAGTTGTAAATGAAGGCACCAGTATAAAGCTTTTGACAAGCAGCTGCTGACATTTTATAGTGCAGCAGAAGGAAATAAATTGGAGAGAGCAAGACAAGGAACATCATATGAACCAAAAATATTGATGGTGAATGTGCACAAGATTTCTGTCATTTCATAAAATCATACATTACTACGTTTCTTCAACTCACTGATGCCTTCTGAAGCAAGCCCAGGTGGTTTGATTAGTGTGAGATCATGTATATATATATATGTATGTATGTCTGTATGTATGTCTGTATGTATGTATGTCTGTATGTATGTATGTATACGTATACGTATATGTATATGTATATGTATATGTATGTATATATATATGTATATATGTGTGTGTGTGTATATATATATATGTATATATGGGTTTGTGTGTGTGTGTGTGTGTGTCTGTGTCTGTGTGTGTGTATATATATATATATATATGTACAGTGGTGCCTCGCATAGCGAGGTTAATCCGTTCCGGATTAACCTTCGCTATGCGAAAACATCGCTAAACGGGACTAAAAAAGCCATAGAAACTATGGCTTGAAAACTCACCGTTAAGCGATGTTTCTTCCATAGCGCCGCCATTTTCGCGCCCTCG